AAAACCTCATTTCCATCTGATTCAAAGCCTGGTGCCCTGTGAGGTCTAATCACCAAGCTCCCATTTTCTATAACTGGGCTCTCACCTTCAGAGTCAGCTTACCGACTAAAGGCTCAACTGATAACACCGAGTCTGGGAGCAAAGTCATGAAGCTCCTCCTAAGACTTGGAGGTCCACTGCCATGGTAAGCGTGTGAACTAGAAGGGCTCTGACAAGAGTCACAAAACCCAGCGGGGGCCAGAAGCAAAAGACTAACCTAAATTCACACAATATGTCCAGTATGTGCTTTTGGGATCTGATATTGAGCAGCTGTGTTTACAGAGTCAGAAAAACTGAAAACTTACTAGGAGAAGGTGAAGGGAGAAAAAAAGGCTTGGTCTTTTTTTTTTTTTTTTAAACTAGAGAAAAAACATTAACACTAAATGCAGCATAGGATTCTGGACTGGATCCTAGAACAGAAAAAGAACATTAGTGGAAAGACTGAGGAAATCTGAATGCAGTCTGTAGTTCTGTTAATAGTGATATACCAATGTTGGTTTCTGAGCTTTGACAAATGTACCATGGTAATGAAAGATGGTAACAATAGGGGAAACGATACAAGAACTCTCTGTACTATCTTTGAAACTTCTCTGTGAGTGGAAAAACTTCACACAATAAAAAGTATATTTTTTTTAAAAAAGGGAGGAAAAAAACTACATTAACACTAACCATCTAGTGATCGCCTCTCAGAGGAGAGTTCTGATGTCAAGACCATGATTCTGAACAACTTTGCTGACTTAAGGAAAATCTACTGAAAAAGAAACAAAAGCTCAAACTCCCAAGATTAGCTTTTTAAGAGAACCGGGTCTCAAAAAAAAAAAAAAAAAACCATGCATATATATTCATACAGGACACAGTTACAGATACTTCTTAGGCATAACCAAACACCTTGCAAGATTGGTTTTCTGGGTTTGAAGGCTTAGGACCTTCTCATGGGACAACTCAAGTCAACTGGAGCAGAGTTCACAAAGTTCATGTTCTGCATCCTAGTGAGGTGAGTAGCATCTGAGGTCTTAAAAGCCTGCAAGCAGTCACCTAAGATACAACTATTGGTCTCTACTTGTCAAAGAAAAAGAGAAAGAAGAAAACCAGTCTCAGACAAGAAACTAGTCTACAGGGCTAACAGCTTACACTAGCCACGACCTCATCTACCCTGAGACCTGAACAATTAGATGGCACCTGGTTACCACTACCAACCGTTCTGATCAGGGCCACAATAGATGGACTCTGACAGAACAGGAGAAAAATGCAGAACAGAACTCAAATTCTTAAAAAGTCCAGATTTACTGCATCAGTATCGCCCTGAGATACTCTTTAAACCTTGAACCGAAACTATCCTGATGTCACTTTTAGCAAAATAACAGATTGGCACACAAAATAAAGGATATTACCCATGAGTACGTGCTCCATTAAAAACCTATCTATATGAGAACAAAAGGTCAACAATTACTCTAAAGCAAAAATGAGACGATAAAGGGGCAGGGTAAACTAGATAGAGCACTGGAAACAGAACAACCAGAATGCAATTAACGAGAAAGCTGACACCTTGTGAAAAATGTAACCAACGTCACTGAACAATTTGTATAGAAATTGTCAAATGGGAACCTAATTTGCTGTGTAAACTTTCACTGAAAACACAATATTATTTAAAAAAAAAAAAAAAAAGGCCAAAAAACCCTTCTGATATCTAAGGCCACTACAAAAGGAATGCCACAAGCCTAATTAATAAATACAGCCAACATATTAGTTTTAAATGGAAGATTTGGCAATTCTATTGTTTAAATGCTATATTATACTTTCGTGTTGATTGATAGCACAATTCTGAAATGAAATTTATGTTCACAGGAGCCTCTTATAAATTCTACAAGGGCAAGAACCATATTGGATTATCACCATTTTGTGTCTGGTATATAGCAGGCATTCTATAAATATTTGTTGGATGAATGAATGAAAGACATTCACACAAAATTTAATTAGGCTCAGACTATTACAGAAGTTATTGTTACTGTGCCCTTGCTTTTATAAAAGGATGTGGAGATTGGCAAATATTTTATACTTTGTGGGCCACAGTCTCTGCCTCAACTACTCAACTCTGCTGTTAAAGTGCAAAAACTGCCATAGACAATATGTAAACAAATGGGCATGACTGTGTTCCCATAAACTTTACTTACAAAATAGGATTTGGCTATGGGCCATAGTTTACTGTCCCCTGAAGTAAAAGAATAAAAACATCCTAATTCCATGGGACTACTTTCTCATAAGGAACATTCTATTACCTAGAGGTTGTAAACTGGTGGAGTTGCTAAATTCCACCAGACATTCTTTGCTTGGCCAAAATTTGGGCAGGGTGTATATTCCCTACAGTGCCCATCGCTCTTTATTAAGCAACCCTTGCTAACTTCACTAGTGCTGCTACCCTGGTCCTTGCTAGCCTTTGATTTTGCATCCCTGAATGTTACAGTACAATTGGTTTCCAAGGATGTGGCCCATTTCTTACCTATGAATCCATAACCACAACATAGAAGCCTCGAGGGCAAGCCCATGACTTATACTTCTTCATCCCCCATCCAACACCTAATGCCTCTTGAACTTTAAATATTTATTGATTAGATGCTGTTTGGTATATTTCGCAAGTTTCCCCTGAGGGGCTATAGAGAGTAATAATGACAGAGAAGAAGGTATAGAAAACATGCCAGCATTGAGCAAAATGAAAAAGGACCTGCTGAATCACAGGAGAAGCAGGACTAAAACAAAAAAACACACGTATCTCCCAAGTGTATCTCACTCTTCTACCTGCTGCCCAGATTCCTCTTTCAAATCACAGCAGAGGCTGGGCAGAAGCTGGACCACCTGGGACAACCTCCACTGTACTCATGCTGAGGGCAGAGGTCAGCAGGTACTTGTTTAATCTCTGTTTCTGCTAGAGGGTACCTTGGGTGAGTGAACCCTAAAAAAATTACCTGCATCTAGTAAAATGAATCACACAATAGAATACCCTATAGCAACGAAAATGACAAACCTACAACTATACCCAACAATATGGAAGTTTCTCACTTAATAGTCCGTTGAATGAGAAAAGCCAGACACAAAAGAGTACAATCTCTAATTATTTACATATTGTATTCATATATACATAAATACACATGTATATAAACACATCTGTATACAAACATGTACACATATGTATGTGTATATATTTGTGTGTGTATGTATAACAAAAAAACAGGCAAAACTAATTGATGCTGCTAGAAATCAAGAGAGTAGTCACCCACAGAGTAAAGCAGTATCCAGAAGGAGACATAGGGTGTGTTGATAATACTCTGTTTCTTGATCGGGGTGTTGGTTTTACGAGTGTGTTCAGTTTGTGAAACTATAGCTCGGCTGCTAACCAAAGGTCGGCAGTTCAAATCCACCAGCCGCTCCTGAGAAACCCTATGCGGCACTTCTACTCTGTTCTATAGGGTCGCTATGAGTCGGAATCGACTCGATGGCAGTGGGTTTTGTTGGTTTGGTATACACTTACAACGTGTATTTTCTGTATGTATGTTCTACTTCAATAGAAAGTTAAATAAGTATCACCCATATCTAAGTGGTCCAGGGCCAGGGAGCCAATTGAAGGCCTCATGCAGCGCCCTATACACCCTCGCTATGGAGTCTTTCCTTTCGTCTATCCTTCAAAGCCCCTTTTGGCCCACGTGGAGCCCCACTCATCCTGTCAAAGCATAACCAGACAGAAGCCAAAGAGTGAAACAGCTAACTATATCATTCTAATGAGCTACCTATGATTCCAGTCACAGCTCCTTCTGAAGGTCAGTGTCTTTCCATGAAACTTTACTGCCGTCACTAATCTTTTGGATTACATAAAAAATGAGAGTATAAGAAGACATCACTGCCTTAAATGGCTCACTTAAATACAGTTCTTTTAAAGTATGTCCTAAATGGACAACTCTAGTTCATAAACGTCTATAAAGAAATGCTTAGTTACACGGGGACCACTTGAGGAAGACACCAAAAATAAAATGTAACCGAAATCAGAATGCAGAACAGTTGACAGCCACCCAGCAAGAACGGCAGAGTCGTAATAACTGATTGTGTAATTGGCTATAATGTGTAATAATTTACAACTGTAATCATAGCTAAACACATCTCTTAGACTTTATGTAAAGTTTCAATTCAGGAAGTCAAGTTACGGGGCTGGTAATCATCTTGAATCTCTCTAATGTTGATTGTAATATATTAACCTCCACTTCACATTCTTTTCACGCTCTCCCTACAAGTGCAGGTCAAAAAGCAAAATCAGTTACGTCCTTTAGATCACATTAGATCACAGAGGCTGGTCTACATGTGAATACTGATCACGAAGAAGGCAAGAATGATAATTAGATCCACTAACCTAACCATGAAACATCATAATGGGGCAGGCGGGCAGATTAACAAGAAATGAAGAAAGCACAGTAACTACTCTCTTACACAGACACATGTATAATGCAAATTCCACTCTGTTGTATTCAGATGTTTCTCATAACAAACTCATATCTCCTATCTGCCCATTAAATAAAATCACTGTTTAAATTTTTTTTTTTTCTAACTTTATATCAGCTTTGACTGGAGCATAAACTCAGAAGTTAAATTCTTTAATAGGAAATTAGAACTGTGTTTAATTAAACGATTCTGTGTCACGTAGTTTATGAATGTTCTAATACCTCACAGTGAAGAATGTGCTTATTTTTAGGAGCTGCATCCCCAAGTATTTAGGATAAGATGTCATGATGTCTGCAACTTACTACACATTTCAGCTGAAAAATATACACATACCAATACATACACAGAAAATACGGCAAAATGCTAACAACTGTTAAATCTAGGTAGTGAGTAAACAGGAACTCATTGTACGTTCTTTTAACTCTTCAGTATGGTTTGAACTTTTTCTAATAAAAAGCCTCACAGAAATGTTTACTCACCTTTCAAGTAGATGGCCGTCTTCTTTTTCCTAATCAACAATGAATGGCTAAATATGCCTAAAGGTACATCAGGGATCATTCATGCTGCCCTCACCCTGCAAGAATAAGCAAAACAACATGTTATCACCAAGGATTTTTTTTTTTTTTTTAAGTTAATGCTATTTCAGTTGAGAAAATGTTATGTTCTTAATACATGACAAGTCTCTCGATTAAAACACTGCTATAATTCTTTTTTTTTTAACAAGGAGAAAAGTAAGAGAAAAAAATGATCCCATCACATATTGACTGTAGGGAACAAGCATCAGTCCCATCCACTCTAGGAACTTCTAGAACAAAGGAATGCCTGAGTGAGTTTCTTTTAATTTACAGCAATTCCAGACAGTGGCACAGCCCAAACTTCCACTCAAACAAAAACTGGAGTTGCACTTTGACTTTGGATTTCTGAGACCACACTTAGAAGGCATCCACGTACACTCTTATAACCACGCCAGAATTGCTGGTCCCCCTGGAATCCTTTCAAGCAAAGACATTCAGATCCTTTCTACAGCACCCACAACTACAATACACACATCATGGTGTGAAAATCATACCATACTGCCACACCCTCTGCCTTATATTGTAGCACACTACCTACTTCATTTGATCCTCCCCGCAGCTCTGAGTTAAATAGAGTTTGCTGATCCCAGTTTTCAGAGGAGGCAGCTGAGTGTCAGAGAAGTATGACATGGACATTCAATTAGAAAGCACCAGACATGAAATTCCTGCCTAGGTCTTCTGACCCCCAGTTCAGGGTATGTCTCACTATCCAGGGCAATCCCCACATGACACTCTCCAAAAAAAAAAAAAAACCCCAAAGCCAAATGGCCCCGTGTGCAAAAATCAAACAATACCTTCACATGCCATGGTATAAAGACAAGGGGATGCAGTTTGTTCCCTGAGAGTTGGAAAATATTTATAGTACCATTAACACTATAATTATCAATTACTACAATTACTATTAGTAATTATACTCCTCTTTTAGACTCAATAACTATTACTGTATTTTTTGCATTTTATATATGTACTTATTTCTTTCTCTTCTTTCTCAAAAGAGAAAGTTGGTCAACTGAAATAAAACAAGCATCATATGGCAACCCTGGTAATTTTGATCTCTGCCTCTACAAAAGGCAATTATCACTTGCTGTTGAAGATTTTCCATTAATTTTTATAAAATGCAAAATACAATAGAATATAATGGCTCAGAAACAGTCAAAACCACAGCTGGGGAGATGATGGTCTAGAATGGCCATCTGTTAATAAACAAATTTCTGCATGCACAGAGGTTTACACGTAACACGTGAAGTGCTGGTGTACAAAAGTCTGACAAAAGCCAGTCAAGGACCTACTGCACCTGGCCTTCAGTCCTGTCTCCTCGAGAGAACCTTTCCTGACTGCCTCCTCACCTGGGGGTTGGAACATCTGTTCACACGGATGCTGTGACCCACAAAGGAGACAGAGTGTGACTCAACGCCTCACAAACTGGAGCACTTGGACCCCAACGAATATTCACCAAGAAGTTATGCCAAGAGACACACAAAACCAAAGGAAGAAAACATGAAGTATCTTCCAGAAACATCCATTTTACTCAAAGATTTTGATGAGAGAAGGCTAAGCAAATGAACCAGTAATTTAGAAGTTAATATTAAAACAAATACACATCATGGAGTAGAATACAATGATTGCATGAATTTTTAAGCTAAAACTCTTGTCCTGAATCATTTCCAGCGGTACCTTTAGGTACGAAGGTGGAGCATGAGGGGTGGAGTCTCTCTCCTTTTTCATTAAAGATGGTCTTGAGAGAAAGTGTGAGGCTGGCAGGGATTTTAATATCATAGTGAGTCCAGGAAGCTACCTACCAGTGGCCCTTGCTCCAGAGAATTCTCTTCAAAATCAGGAGTTCTAGATTTTTGCTAGATCTAGGTATAGGCAGAACAAAGTCTAGGCACATATAACCCCACCTTTATACCACATTCTGGTACAAGCATTACTGAAATACACTTCCTTATGGCCCCTCCTACCCCTCCCTGGTGCACATTCCTGCCAGGCAAGCTCATGCCACCAGATACTCAGTTTCACACTACTGGCTTTTCTTCAACCCCATACAGACTGGCAACATATTCAGGATTCACAGTAATTTTCATTTAAATAGGTGTCTGCATCATTTTGTTGTTGTTGTTAGGTGCCAGCGACTCAGTTCCAACTCATAGCAACCCCAGGCACAACTGAACAAAACACTGCCTAGTCGTGTGCCATCTTCACAATCATTGCTATGTCTGAGCCGTCTGCTGCAGCCGCTATGTCAATCCATCTCATTGAGGGCCTTCCTCTTTTTCGCTGACCCTCTACTTTACCAAGCATGATGTCCTCCTCCAAGGACTGGTCCCTCCTGATAACATGTCCAAAGTACGTGAGACGAAGTCTCATCAACCTCGCTTCTAAGGAGCATTCTGGCTGTACTTCTTCCAAGACAGATTTGTCTGTTCTTCTAGCAGTCCATGGTATATTCAGTATTCTTTGCCAACACCATAACTTAAAGGCATCAATTCTTCTTCGGTCTTCCTTATTCACTGTCCAACTTTCGCATGCATATGAGATGATTGAAAATACCACAGATTCGGTCAGGTGCACCTTAGTTCTCAAAGTGACATCTTTGCTTTTTAACATTTTAAAGAGGTCTTTTGCAGCAGATTTGCCCAATGCGATACATCGTTTGATTTCTTGGTTGCTGCTTCCATGGGCATTGATTTTGGATCCAAGTAAAAGGAAATCCTTGACAACTTCAATATTTTCTTTGTTTATCATGATGTGAGAATTTCTGCTTTCTTTATGTTGAGGCATAATTCATATTGAAGGCTGTAGTTTTTCATCTTCATCAGTAAGTGCTTCAAGTCCTCTTTGCTTTCAGCAGGCAAGGTTGTGTCATCTGCGTATCACAGGTTAACGAGTCCTTCTCCAATCCTTATGCTGTGTTCTTCTTCATTTAGTCCAGCTTCTCAGATTATCTGCCTCGCATTCAGACTGAATAAGTATGGTGAAAGGATACAACTCTGCTGCACACCTTTCCTGATTGTAAACCATATAGTATCCCCTTGTTCTGTTCAAAAGCCTGCCTCTTGGTCTATGTATAGGTTCCACATGAGCACAATTAAGTATTCTGGAATTCCCATTCTTTGCAATGTTATCCATAATTTGTTATGATCCTCACAGTCGAATGCCTTTGCAGTCAATAAAACACAGGTAAACATCTTTCTGGTATTCTCTGCTTTAAGCCAAGATCACTCTGCACCAATACTAAAGAAAAATCAACTTATCAATTTACTTTTTTTGTCTCTGAAATTTTAGTGTAAAATATATTAAAAAATATATAACTGCAGTAGCCAGCCTCTTCAAGATGCCCCCCCAATGATTCCCACCTCCCAGTACACATGCTCTTACGTAGCCTTCTCCCACACTCAATAGGGTTGACACATGTAAACTAAAAATGATGGTGTATGACTTCCAAGGCTAGGTATTAAAACACTTTGCAGCTTCCACCTTGCTCTCTCTTGGCTCACTCATTCTGAGGGAAGCTGGCTGCCATGTTGTGAAGACACTCAAGCAGCTCTACACAAAGGCCCACATAGTGAGGAACTAAGGCCTCTTGCCAATAATCAGCAAGGAACTAAGGCATCCTGGCAACAGTCATGTGAGTGAGTCATCTGGGAAGCAGATCCTCAACCTCAGTCAAGGCTTCAGATGACTGCTGCCTCAGCTGACACCTTGACTACCACTTCAGGAAAGACCCCAAAGCCAGAGCCACCCAGCTAAGCTGCTCTCAAACACCTAAAACTGTGAGAGATAATAAATGTTTACTATTGCTTTAAACCACTCAGTTTTGGGGTAATTTTTTACGTAGCAATAACTAATACAGGTAGTCCCCCAGGTTACAAATGTCCAACTTACGGACAACTCGTAGTTACGAACCAACTCCCATAAAACCTATTAAAAACTTGAGGTACATACAATGGTTCACAATAATAAACGAGCATTACTTTGTGATGCACACCAACATTATTACTATTACTGTATTATTATGTTAAAGATGTTTTAGTGTATCTGAAAGCGTTTCTTTAGTGTTTTTTATGCAGAGAAAAGTACACTATATACTATATACTAAGACAAACATTTGACTAACTAAAATTAGATATGAACTATACCTAACTGTTTTGACTTACGTACAAATTCGACTTAAAGACAGATTTAGGAATGGAACTCGTTAGCAATCCATGGACTGCCTGTACGATAACACACGCCAGCTTAAAGAATAATAAACTTAATCCCATATATCTACTACCAAGTTGGTGGGTTGATTTTTTTTTTGGAAGCCCTGTGTGCCCGTTCCTATCCCTCACCTTCCCCCTGCCAAGATAACCATTAGCCTGAATTTTGAGCTCATCATTCCTCTGCTCCTCTTTATAGTTTGACTTACATATGTATCCTCAAAGAATATGCTGTTTCATTTTGCCTAATTTTAAACCTAATATAAATGAAACCAACAATATGTATTCTTCTAAAACTTGACTATTCTTTCAAGATTTTCATTTTGACATTCATCCCAGTTGACTCATATGGATATAGTTCATTTTCTACCACTATATGTTCCTCATTGTGTGAACACACCCACAATTTATTGCCCTATTCTACCTTCGAGGATCATCTGGGAATTTTTAGTTTTTGCTATTACGAATAATGCAGCCATTTACATTCTAGTCCTGGTCCCCTGGAGCACATATGCAAGAGTTTCTCCAAGGCATATACCTAGGAGAGGAGAGCTGGGGTTTGGGATTGCACATGTTCAACTCCTCTAAGTAATGCCAAATTATTTTCCAAACTGGTTGTGTACAATTGACTCTTTAGCAGCCTTTCCAGCCTCTCTCCAAATAAGAGGCATGCCTGTTTTGCTAATTACCAGGAAAGCTTTCAACCAACAAAAGGGAAGGTTTTTACTATTTGCAGCATCACTACTGCAAATAAATAGTACTTCGAAGTAGTGACCCAGACAGCTGGAACATATTAGTCACAGGACATCAGTACAAACTTTGGAATAATGATGAAGACCCAGCCTGCACCATACACTGTCCAGAGGTATCAAGTTGAATTGGATTTCTTGACCTACATTAAATTCAGAGACTGTTTTGTTCCTGGTAGACTCACATACTACGGTCCCAGCTCATTGCTGTCATCTTAAGAGAAAAAAAACAAACTTAACTCACATGCAACCCAGCCAAATTCAAGCTGAAAGCAGGAATCAAATCATTTCCGTGAAATAGTGGGGCCTTTTTATTTGGGTATTTTTAACAGAGCTAGTTACGTTTTTTATATTTTCACCTAAGATGATGTTATAATTTACTATAGCTGATTTTATTTACAATAATTCTACAGAAAAGTATTTGTTGTTGTCGTTGGGTGCCATCAAGTCAGTTCTGGCTCATACCAACTGTAATGAATTTAATTGTGTCCCCCAAAAATGTGTATCAACTTGACTAGGTCATGATTCCAGAATGATGGGACTGTCCACCATTTTGTCATCTGATGTGATTTTCCTGTGTGTTGTAAATCCTATCTCTATGATGCTGATGAGGTGGGATTAGCAGCAGTTATGTTAATGAGGCAAGACTCAATCTACAAGATTAGCTTCTGTTTTAAATCAATCTCTTTTGAGACATAAAAGGAAGAAGCAAGCAGAGACAGGGGGACCTCATACTACCAAGAAAGCAGTGCTGGGAACAGAGTGTGTCCTTTGGACCCAAGGTTCCTGCACAGAGAAGCTCCTAGACCACAGGAAGATTGATAACAAGGACCTTCCTCCAGAGTTGACAGACAAAGCCTTCCCCTAGAGCTGGCGCCCTGAATTTGTAGCCTACTAGACTGTGAGAGAATAAATTTCCCTTGTTAAAGCCATTCATTTGTGGTATTTCTGTTATAGCAGCACTATATAACTAAGATACCAACCCCACGTACAACAGAACGAAACACTGCCCAGTTCCGTGCCATCTTCACAATCGTTGCTATGTTTGAGCCCTTTGTTGCAGCTATTGTGTCAATCCACCTCGTTGAAGATCTTTCTCTTTTTGCCAACTCTCTACTTTACCAGTCATGATGTCCTTCTCCAGGGACTGGTCCCTCCTGATAACATGTCCAAAATAAGAAGACAAAGTCTTGCCATCTTGCTTCTAAGGAGTATTCTGGCTGTACTTCATCAGAGACAGATTTGTTCATTCTTCTGGCAGTCCATGATATAGTCAATATTCCTCTCCACCACCATAATTCAAAGGCACCAATTCTTTGGTCTTTCTTACTCATTGTCCAGCTTTCACATGCATATGAGACAACTGAAAGTGCCATGGCTTGGCTCAGGTGTACCTTAATCCTCAAGGTGACATCTTCGCTTTTCAACACTTTAAAGAGGTCTTTTGCAGGAGACTTGCCCAACGAAATATGTTGTTTGATTTCTTGACTGCTGCTTCCATGGGCATTGACTGTGGAGTCAAGTAAAATGAAATCCTTGACAACTTCAATATTTTGTCCATTTATCATGATGTTGTTTATTGGTCCAGTTGTGAGGATTTTTGTTTTCTTTATGTTGAGGCGTAATCTCTATTGAAGGCTGTAGGTCTTTGATCTTCATCAGTAAGTGTTTCAAGTTCTCTTCACTTTCAGCAAGCAAGGTTATATCATCTGTATATCACAGATTGTTAGTGAGTCTTCCTCCAATCCTGATGTGTCATTCTTCTTCATACAGTCCAGCTTCTTAGATTATTTGCTAGGCAGATAGATTGAGTAAGTATGGTGAAATAATACCACCCTGACGCACACCTTTTCTGATGTTAAACCCCTGTTCTGTTTGAATGACTGCCTCTTGGTCTATGTACAGGTTTCATATGAGTACAATTAAGTGTTCTGGAATTCCCATTCTTTGCAATGTTACGCATAATTTATGATCCACACAGTCGAATGCCTTTGCATAGTCAAGAAAACTTCCAACCTAAGGGGTTCATCTTCCGGCACTGTATCAGACAACTTTCCACTACTATTCATAAGGTTTTCACTGGTCAGTTTTTTTAGAAGTAGATCGCCGGGTCCTTCTTCCCAGTCTATCTTAGTCTGTAAGCTCTGCTGAAACCTGTCCACCATGAGTGACCCTGCTGGTATTTGAAATACCAGTGGCATAGCTTCCAGCATTGTAGCAACACACAAGCCACCACAGTATGACAAACTGACAGATGACTGGTGGAAAAAAAATATTCAGGTACTCTCTATACAGAAAGATTTTCTTTATAGATTTGGCGAATTCAATTTCCTACGTGGCAATAGTTAATTTTATGTTAATTTAATCAGTATTTCTAGCAAACATACAAGTATCAAAATGTTTGTTTGTATTAAATACAAAAAAAAAAAACAAAAAACTTTCAATTTGAGCGAAAGGAAAGAAGCAATGTTACCATAAATTTCAAGGAGGTTCATGTCATGTCACCAAAATTAACAATGGCATTATATGACCAAAGGAGCCCTGGCGGCACAGTGATTAAGAGCTCAGCTGCTAACCAAAAGGTCAGCAGTTCAAATCCACCAGCCACTCCTTGGATACCCTATGATGCAGTTCTACTCAGTCTTATAGGGTCGCTATGAGTCAGAATTGACTTGATGGCAATGGGTTTGGTTTTTGGTTTATACGACCAAAATAAGATCTTTTCAACTCAACCTCTTCCCAGTAATTTGTCTGTTAACAATCATTTATCCCTAGGAGTTAGGAAACATTATTACAGTCATTTTACAGAAATTGGAACAGAAAGAGATTATACTGTACACAGTCACATAGCTGGTAAGTGGCAGCACAAGGATTTGAACCCAGGCAGTTTACTCCAGAGTTTGTATTCTTAACCACTATCTAGGCAGCTTCTTCAGTTCCCCAAGACCTGTCAGAAAGGCCTGCAATGGTGACGATAATAGCAGTTACCAGTTACTATGCCATGCACTTGGCAGGTGCTCTACTGCATTACTTATCCTTCCCATGCCCCTACCAGGCATGCAGTATTCCCATTCATAGTTGGAAAAACTGAGGTCACGAGAGTTAAGTAACTCTATTTACAGGCAGTAAAATAAAATGGTGGAGACACCATGTGAACCCTTGTCTCTAACTTCAAAGTTCATGCTCTTTCCACAAAGGGCCTTCAAGACAAAATGAAACTACCTAATTCCAGGGCTTGTGGTAGGCAAGCGTTGACCTTAGGTTCTGGAAATAATCTCCATAAAAAAAAGCAAACGCCATAGTGGGGGAAGGGGTGCCAGCCTTCCTGATGAGCAGCGGGCAGCGGCTGCCATGTGCGCCTCTATCACAAGCAGACTGGAGCAGAGTGGGTGCTGATAAGAGCAGAGGACACAGCCAGAAGACCAGGGCCCAACACCACCTGCCTATTCAAATGGCCTCCCCAGCCACAGTGTTTTCATCTGTAAAATGGGAATATCTTTTATTTCAAAGGGTTGCTGTAAGGATTAAAGAGTCTAGCATGTAAAAGTACCTGACACGTAATAGGCACCAGATAAATGCTTAATAATGGGAGGATTAAGTGAAAACATGTTGTAGATACCTGCTAGGAAAAAGCAAGGGGCTATACGCTTGCTTCCATATACAAAGCCTCACATACTCCATAACAAACGGCTTGACAATTTCAAATAGGGCATCTTTGTAGTATGATTTTCTAACTAATATTATGACTTCCTCATTTTCTCCTACCCTAAACAGAATAACCTTACAACTAGATCAACCCTTTCTGACATTAATAAACATTCTTTACATAAACACTGGAGCTGGAATGGACTCAAAGTAAAACAGTTGGCTCATTTAACTTTCTGTTACTGACTTTAGAAAATCTTAAGCACTCACTTCAAATAGCAACATCTCTTCAAAGTATTTCAAGCTTCCTGGAAACCATCTCAAATAATCTGGCCAAGAAAGAAAGAAATTTGATTAAATAACTAATAAATGACAAACAAAAAAACCCAGCAACACTATAAACACCACTGCTATGAGAAATAAGGTTCCTTATTAGCATCTCTTTGGTCATACCTAAAATTAAGTATTTAAAGTATGAAATGTGAATTTAGGAACACAGCACCCAGGTTAGCTACCAGCAATCTTCACAGTAACTGGTACTTTGCATTTAGGGGAGGGATGAAGGAGCAGGAGGAACTCCAGCATGATTAAGTCCATTCTGCAAAAGTGGTCCAATCTCATCTTTCTCAAACAACTGATGCAATCTATTAGCAAGCTGCACAGATGGGGCAAAAACCCTGTTTCTTAAAAGACAAAGGCTGAATCTTATATTTGTTCTGAGTAGAACGCCCCACAGCTGACAATTTTCCAGAAGGATAAAGCCAGTTAGCGGAAGCAATCACCACAGCATGGTAGGAGGTGTTTGAAGAGAACAACAGAAGCAGCCACCGCTACAGTTTTCTCAGTATATACCTTGGGCCAGACATTCTGTGGGCATATTTTCTATATTCTTTCTTAAAACCCCGCACTCAGAAGTTCCGGCAAAATGGCGCACAGGCAGAAGCACCACGCTGTCCCTCCACAGCAAAGATCTGAAAAACTAAGCCGAACAGAGAAAACAATCCTGAAACCCTAAAACATCAAATGAAGAGATAAAGAACTAGGCCAAGCACCAAATGGAGTGAGAAAACTGAGAGAGAACAGAGAGCGAGGAGAAATTCATACAGCGGTCCCCTACAAGCTAACGCAGCGTGGATCCGCCATCTTGGACTCCT